AGCAAAGGGTCTGAATACTTATGACCATGTGATATTTCAGTTTTTCTTTTTTAATAAATCTGCAAAAATGTCAAAAATTCTGTGTTTTTCTGTCAATATGGGGTGCTGTGTGTACATTAATGAGGAAAAAAATGAACTTAGATGATTTTAGCATATGGCTGCAATATAACAGAGTGAAAAATTTAAGGGGGTCTGAATACTTTCCGTACCCACTGTATATTATCCCTTTTATCCAATTAGAAAATTCAAGCTCTGCTGCTACAGAACAGTGTGTTGGAAGTTGAAAGACATTTTGAGAAACCCTTCAATGTGGGGTCTTGATGTTATACTAAAAATAACTACTCTCTAGCACTTTGGGACTCTGATACACTGAGCAATAGAAGTGTTTTTAAAAAACTAAAATAATATTGCATCTCTGTTAATATTGCATCCACACTCTTCTCTGAAACTGTTCTAGGTTTTGGTGGCAAGTTCATCCTGGGACACAAACGTTGGGGCTTGTTTTAACTGGTAGTGGGCTATAGGTGCCCTAAGATATGATAGGAAACAGATTCATAGATTAGATACTTTTAATTTTGTAATAACACATCAGTCTAAGCCAGTATTTCTCACCCAGTTATAAATACACTTGCCTCATGCTACAGAACAGCTGGAGAAAATAAAGCTTTTCAAAACAGCTGACATTTTACAACCTTTTGTGATAAACAAACATGTCTTTTCTCTTCCTTCTACTTGAATCTCTTATTTCTTCCTCCTGTGATGCAAGGGAGAAATCAAGGCAACACACATTTGCCAAATGGGACATTCTTCCTCACTCCAGCGATATTTTGTGACGTCAGTCCAACCCATGACGCACAGTTGCATAACCTGGCACTCAGCTCGGATTGCTCTGGATGATGAGAACAGTACACACAAAGTATCTGTTTTCTAAGAAGTTACAGGTGCAGTTAGTGTGATTTTCCATGTGTTTGTGGCCTATTATATGACTAACGGCCTTGTCGAAGTAATAGCCTACTTTGCAGTTTTGGGGGAAATAATTGGACTCTCCCTCTCACTATGACTAAGCTAAGATGCACTTGGAAAGAAACAGAGGACCTCACAAAGATAAGATGTCTGACTAGCTACTGACTAAACAGCAAAAAGGTGGTATGGTATTTTATGTTAGAAAGCTTTACAAAAGAATGGAGTGGGGGAAAGTGGTGCCTTGTGACACATGCTGCCTTCAGCTGCTTTTGCACAGATTGAATGCACATTAAATTTGGGCTTCAAATGGGCCATCATCTTTTTTCCAGCATTGTTGCCAGGAAATTAATGTTTTAGAACTTATAAGATATCCCATGGCCTAGACCTTTCTTGATGATCTGAAAAAAGAAGCAGCAAGGAGGTGAGGAAATATTTTTACCTAAATGGAAGAATCTCATGAATCCACCAGGATGCAATAAAGCAGTCCAGAAGTTACTCTTAGTCGCTGCCCTCAGGTCGTGCAATGGGATATAGTGAAATAAAAGTAAGCAGCTGACAAAACCAGCAAAACCTGAAGTCCAGAGCTTTCAGCCAGGCTTCTTTCAGACTGTGTGCTGTTTCCGAGGTTAAGCATTACACGACAACCTGACTAAAATAAGCTTTTACAGAAGAAGTTAAGGGAAGGGTTGGCTCCACACGTTAAGTGCCCCTTAATGACATACGTATAAAAAACATAAATGGACGTAAATTAATTCATGGTAAATGATCTTATATGGCGTTTTCACTATTTCTATTCACCCATTTGCATTCACACATTCATGATAGCAACTAGGGGTTCAGTGTCTTACTCAGTGACACTCCGACATGTGGACTGGAGAAGATGGAAATCAAGCCGCCAAGCCTCTGTTTAGGAGACGAACTGCTCTGCCTCCTGCTTTTACTTTTGGTACTTTAAGTACTCTTTCCTGATTATAATTACATAAAGGAATTTGATTGTTTGACTGGTGTTTTTGTTGTTTCAGTGTTTGTCTGAGTGTTAAGATGTGCCTGAAACAAACTATATGTCTAGTGCAACAAGTCCTCCAACCTGCATGATCCAGCAGCTGGTGGAGATCTCTTCTTGTCACACTCTCTGGAAACCCCAGCAGATTGATGTCACGCTACTTGTACAAAAAGCAGTTGGTTAAATGGCAGAGTCTTTGTTAGTCAGTGATTCACATCCTGCACAGACTTCTCTGGGGGTTGTATTGCTATGAAGCAGTGGAAATTCGCGACATCTAAAGGGGAGATGAATTACACTCCCAAATGTTGCTGAAAAGCATCATTTGTTTTTAACCTTTTTTATCCATCAAAGCTGAGGCTTAGTAAGCATGACTCAAACTCACACGCAGGAGCTGCTCAGAACAAACATGGCCTGCAGCGGAGAGCCACGCGGCGGTGAAGTGAGTTACATCCATGTCACTTGTTTCTGAGAGAGCAGAGAGAATTACTTCCATTTCTGACTGTGCACATTCAGGTCTTAAGTTGTAATTCTAACATTAACATTTTAATAATCTTTAATCAATTTATTATACTCTATCATGACTTCTGATTATAAAAGATGCTAATCAAACAGCCTTGGTCAGAGCTGGAGCTGATCCCAGCTGACATTGGGTGAGAGGTCACTGGAGGTTTATTCATGCTTGTGTGTGCAATGTGAGGTTGTTTAGAGATGGAGGGCTGAAAAATAAAGTAAACTTCCTTTTTAAAGAAGCATTGGAGGAATTTAATACCAGAAAAGCAATAATGTATGATTTCTTCTTTAAGACATCCCTCTGAACCAGATTAACTCTGCCTCTGTGCAAAGCTAATTTTATCAAAAATAGGTTTTGTCAGGCTACAATAGAATTGGTCATAACTCCCATGGATACTCCCACTCTTACTGTTATTGTCATCTAACTGTTTTCTTTAATTGGAGTCTTGTCCATTTGGTCTCTTCATCCGTTCCTCAGATAGTCTTGGTGTTCTGTATTTTGTTGTGTGTTGTTATTTTATATGTAAATGCTACATTTTGGACACATTATGTGTGTTTATGTGTAAATATATATATATAGACACCTGGAGTAAACTGAAAGCTGAATGTGCATGATGCTGCTATGTTCAGTTTTCCTTTTAAAAATCACTGAGTGTGTTGGTGTGAGTGTGTACAGGCATATTTTCAGGTGTAGTAACGATGCCTAACAAGTGAATCATGTCTTCCTAATGATGTTTCCACCCAGAGAGGCATGCACACCTTGTAATCGAGAAGCACACAGAAATGATTCAGTCAATAAAATTGATTTGCACGCTTCACTGTGGCTCCCTGTCTGTTGAAAGGATGTTGCTCTCAGTGTTAAGATGTCAGGGATTTGATGCCCACTTCTCAACAGTTGTTTTTATCAGTGTACAATAATGTAAACATGCACTCAAAAAAAAAAAAAAAGACTCATCAGTCAGTCAGGATACTTGACGATTTTAAAGATTATATCCCAGCTGGAGGAAACACAGCAGGGCAAGTTCACTAATGCTTCACCTGTTGTCTGGTGACGTGAGCTGCTCCAATGATTAAAAAGTGTGTGGGTGGCCTTTGCAACAACCATGCACACAAACACACAAAAACACACTCCTCCCCATCTGGAAAGGAGCAGGAGACCCTTTACCTCAATCGCACCCTGAGGCCTCGAGAGTCTGAGCTCCATGCTTTATGTGTCTATAAAAAGAGCTTTCTTCATCTAAGGAAGAAACAGCAGACCCTCTCCTACAAAGCATTTCATTGCAAAGCTGAGAGAGAGCAGGAGAGGAGGAGAGGGATCGCAGTTAAAGAGCCGCCACTCTGGAAGATCTGTGGACAAACAGAGGGAGAAAAACAAGAAGAGAAGAGAGGGAAAGAAGGCGTTTGGAAAAGGTAAAAAAAAAAAAAAATAGTCCTGACTTTGTTTATAGAGTTGTCGTTTTGAAATGAATCAAAATTGTGTATGATTGTTGATAGCTTGTTTTTTCGAATGAAAAACCACTGATGCACTGAATAAACACACATTTCGGATGCTCTGACACATGCAGCTACATTTATTTGTACTTCACATGGATTTCTATCTCAGCTTTTAGAAGAGCAAACATAGCTTTCTATGATGGCATTTGAATCACTTTCATTAATATCTACCTCTACAAACATTAATCTAACTTATGAAGCCTTTGAATAACTCTGTATGTCATTAACACATAAGGTTGCAGATTATTGAAATTGCAGCTCTCAGGCTTCTTTTAACAGAGTATGTCTGTGGAGAGCAGAGCTCAGCTGAGTGAGTCATAATGTAGGAAGAGCATAGATGAGTCTCTGCCACAGTTAAAGACGATGGCCCACCAAGGAGTCACTCCTTAGAATAATGGAGAAGGGTGGGAGAAACAATAACATGCAATTTTCCAATGATGGAAAATCAGTGGACTCATTTCCTGCACCAGGATGCATCCCTTTAATGCACCAGGAGGATTTTTTTTTAAAAGAGGGGATGAGGAAGTTCTAACATGTTAATATATGAAACGAGTGGCCCAGATCAGCAGCAGGATGCCAAACTGAGTACAGGTGTAGATCAGTCTGACAGTGCTGGGTCTAAAAGTTTCTCTTTGTTATGCAGCTTCAATAAAACAACCCCCCTGAAGTCTTTTTTTTAAGAATCGGAGGAGAAGAAAAGAATAAATATAGCAACAAAGAGATGAGGGGAGGCATTTGCCTGGTAGAGATGTGCCACAAGTCATTGGATGCTGTCTTCTATTAATTAGTTAGGATATTTTCCTCCACCCTTAAGAATAAGTATATAGTCTCTATAATAAGTAGGACCTATTTGAATACAACCTTCTATATGTTTGCTTGTATGTATCCATGTATGTGCATTTATCGCTTTCCTTCAGGCGGCAGAAAAGGTAATGCTCATCTCACAAAGCCCCTTTAATAGTCATTATACTTCATTGACCTTTCTATTTCTGGCTGCAGCCCTCTCTATTAGTGTTGAAAACAGCAGTACAGATGAGGAAATTCAAAGCCTATTCAGTGATGTAGATTACTACTAGATTACCACTATTATCCCTGTTTCCTTGGGCAACTACAGTATAATATAACTGTTGTTCAATTATTTTTTTCTTTTTTTCCAACAAGGCTGTGACATTAAATTAAGGGCCACTTGAAAGATGTTTATAGCTTAAGGGGCTTAGGGACTGTATGGAAATTACTGGGGTGGAGAGCAGGTGCTGAAACTGCTGCTGATGTTGGATTAATGAATCCATCCATCCATTATCGATACCACTTATTCTTTAGTAGGGTCCCGGAGGGGTTGAAGCCTATTCCAGCTGACATTGGGCGAGAGGCGTGGTACACCCCGGACAGGTTGCCAGTTTATCACAGGGCTGACATGTAGACAAACAACCACACACACTCACACTCACTCCTGCAGGCAATTTAGAGTCACCAGTCAATCTAACCTGCATGTCTTTGGCCTGTGGGAGGAAGGTGGAGCACCCAGAAACAACCCATACAGGCACAGGGAGAACATGCAAACTCCGCACAGAAAGGTCCCGGAGCGGCCCGGGCTCAAACCTAGAACCTTATAAGGCCCAGATCGCACTTTAGAGGTGAAATTAGCAAATGCAAAAACCACAGAAAACAAATCTGACCATTCCAGCTGCTCTCTAGTTTTGAACCAGTCAGAACCAGAATCAACTTTACTGGCCAGGTGTGTTGAGCACACAAGGAATTCAACTTCGGTACAGTGGCTCTCACTGTGCACGAACAATGCTTTTCCATAAGGCAACAAATTAACAAGATAAGACTGAGAGAAGAAGAAAAGAAAAGGAATTTGCATTATGCCTTGTTTCTTGTGCATTCCTTGCACAAGCGAAGGTAACTTGACGTCAACACAGAATTGGCGGACGCCACCACTGACAATAAAAGCAACTTGCCAGATTTCCAGATGTACAATCATTAAATGACCATTTCAAATAAAATGCTGACCAAAAGAAGTATCAAAGCTTTAATATACTTTTGTTATACTGCAGAGTAAAGTGGAGTCATTAAGGAAACTATATAACCTTTCTCTTTTTCTAAACCCCACCTCTGTCAGTAATAATTTATAGACAGTCCCTTAGTATTAAAAACTGCTAAGTTAAATCAAGTCTCTTTTGGGGACTCTTGCAGAAGCAGCTCTATATAAATAGTGTCAGATTTTCCAGAGCTTTCATTAACCACCACTTTTAAATATGATAAATGTGCCACTGGTAAACAAGACCATCTGTTACATTACACGTGATGTTAGCTGGAAGAGAGCTGCTGAGTATTGGTATTTGAGCTCAGCTATTATTCAGCAATGACACACACACACACACACACACACACACACAGCTACTGATCCACCAATTACTTCAAAGAAAGTGCTGAAACACGTCAAGTTATATAAGGAAGTGAGGAAAGTGTTATGCAAGTGCAATGATCAAGAGACACCTACGGCATTTCTTCACAAAAGTAGCAATTTCTTCCAATTTAGGAACGATAAAGTGAATGTGTGCCTGTTGGGACTGCCGTGTTATTAAAACCTATTTTGTGTTTAGAAGAGAGTTCCCCCCACTGTCACACTACTTTCTTTTAAGCTCAGCCTCAACTGAGTGTCTGTCTTCCACACTCTAGGCTGAGGATGGTGTGTCTATGTTGGTTGTTAGTGGTGGTCATGGCACATGTGTGCGTCCCAGGGTTTGGCTCGGCATGCTGGGACAGCTCCATCTGCAACAACCTGAGCAACAAGGAAAGGATACGGGTAGGTCAAACTGTCTTTTCCATTATATTGTTGTTGTCCTTCTATTTCATCTTTGATACCTTCATCACCAGGTGAGGCAAGCAAACACAATTTGTGCAGCAACTTAGTTCAAAATATTTTAAATGTAACGTGACTACAAGAGCAGAATATGGAAAACAGAGAAAGCTAAGAATATCTGCATTGTTGATACTGTTACATGGAATGAGTTAGTTAAAAAGTCGAGTCAAGTGAAAATTAACCAGCTACTGTTTTGAGGGATTCATTTTTATATAATTTTTCAAGCAAAAATGCAAAACCGTTTGATTCCAGTTCTTCAGATGTGAAAATCTTGTTTATTTTCTTTGTCTCTGGTGATTATCTTTGTGTTTTGGACTGTTAGTTCAACAAAACACTCTTGATAATCACATCACGTTGTGGTCCTTTTTATATCTACTGTGACATTTTACAGACTAAACAATTAATCAAGAATAGTAATGGCAGATAAAGCAATAATCAGTAGTCACATATTGACGTTAACGGTCTTTGTTGTTTGGCCAGGTTTTGGAGCATCCAGAATAAATCTGCACCAAAGTGATAAAATACAGTTAATGTCTCATTACTGTATCATCATCAGCTCTTCTTGCTGAAAAGGATTCACAGAATAAGTAACAGTGCATTTTAAAATGTTGCTGCTTCTTCCACACAGGACTGCGTTCACCTCTGCATGTCTGTGATCCAAACTGTGCTTCCAGAGCTCAGTGCATCGGCCCTGAAGGATAACGATGACCTCTTACTCAGCATGGTTCAGGCTACCCTGGCCTCCCACGACAAGATGTCAGAGTCAGATCTGAAAGCTCACAGCAGCGAGCGACGCGCCTACTCGATGGAGCATTTCCGCTGGGGGAAGCCCTCTGGCCGTACACGCCGGCCCGCCAAAGTCTTCGCCTCTTCTCTGGAGGGAGGGGGCTTTTTTGAGGGGCGTTTCCCCCTTCAGGCTCGCAGGCAGCTGAGCGAGGGGGAAGCAAAGAGGGACCTGAATCAAGAAAGACATCAAGTAGCTGAAAAAGATTAATAGCCACTGCATGTTAGTATCCACAGGTCTTAATTTTAAATGACAGAAACTTTCATTAGCATGCTGTTGAATGTGTTTTCTGGGCCAACGGTTTGTCTCATCGAAACCTTAACTGAAGATAAGAAACAAGGCAGTTTTATGTTGAATAAAAACTATGATGCACCCAACTACCTTGACCTTCTTGGCCTTGACCTGAGAGTTTTCTTGGGAGCAGAGTTTTTTTTTCTAGCAGGAAATGTCGCCACTGATTTTGAAAAAGGGAATTAAACTGTAACTCCAAATTCTGTTGAAAGGTTCTAAAAGACACACACATTGATGATTTTAATTCTGATACACTATCCAATCAGGTGACAACGAAACAGACGTAAATATACAACGGCGACAGTGTGGTATGAGACGCCACAGTATTCTGTATCTCAAGAAGATCTCATTAAAAAACATTTGTCTTCACTTTCATCAGTTTTACAGAAACATCAGATCCAGATCAGATTTTAATGGTTACAAATTTATTGTACACCACAGCAACATTACTAGCATGCAAAGTCAAATATGACACTCATAAGGCATTTTCTCCATGTAAAAGCTGCCAGTGCCACTAGGTAATCCAGTTTTTAAAGTGCAAAGTTCACAGAATGAATATATTTGACCTACAGCACTATGTTGTAAACAGATCTATTAATTAGACATGTAATGACAAAAGTGAGATTGGTTTACTGTCAGTTCATATTACGTTATGCTATGCAATGACAACAAGCAGACTGATAGATTTACAGGTCTCCATTGTTGCAAGATGCTGAAAAGACAGTTTGGGAAAGTTTAGACAGCTGCACGTTGCTTTTAGTTAGCTTGTTCTTCATCAGTGTGGAAAGTCATCAGACACAAACTGTAAACCACGTCTGGAGAGTTTGGTCTTGGGTAATGACAATAACACATGAACAAATACATGCACTCACACATGAACAGACAAATCTGATACACTGGCCTGTTTGGACATATACATACTGAGGATGCTACATTATATAAAAAAAAATAGAATATAAAACCAAACAGAGATAACTGGACAACACATGACAATCAGGGACAAACAAGACACCTGTGGTTGCAAGATGGTGAACGCACGTGCCACACAAATGCAGTTAACTCACAAAAGCGCAGGACAGGGAAGGGCAGTCTCTTACAACATCACAAAGGGAACCATCACAGCACCACCACAACAGAAGGCACAACTCAAACCACACAAAAAGAATCTGCTACCTCCAGTTGAACTGTGTTAGCCAGGCTAGTGCCAAATTATTGCCATTATACTTTGTATTAAATTATTATGGTGTGCATGTTCATACACACAAAAATGGCTTTTGGACTTTGAATCTTGCTGAAAATTCACTGTTTTGGAGGCTGCAGCGGCAGCATGGCGTACAAACAAAGTGCAAACTTGTCGCAGCAGGACACAGGATATAATGGCAACAACAGAGGTCAGGATGACGGTGCTGAAACGTGCGGCTAGTAATGAAGTTGAACGTAACTTTTAAACCAGTTTTTTTCTTTATCAGGTGAGATTACTTCAGTAGTGTGATATAGTGACCCCAAGATGATGTGGGCTGTTCAGACCCTCGTCAGTGCACATTTTGATTTCATGTGTTGCTGGTTACTTAATTGAGATTTTAGTAAAAAGGATGTGAATATTAACTAACTAGCTTTCTCCCTTATCTACGGACACAATCAGTGCAGTGGCAGTCTGAAATTATACAGGAATTAATATACACTATGTACACACACAAATACATCCCTACTCTGTACATCAGCTTAAATATTTGTATATTTCTCTGTATATATACAGCTATATGGGAAGGAAAAAATAAAGGCTCATTAATTATTTTTGAGTGTTTGCATTACAGTAAACACTTCAGATCTTCAGACGTTTACTGTGGTCCCGACTGTGGTGCAGTGTGTTTTTGTCTATGTTCTAACTTGAGTCACCTGTAAGGCACACTCACTTTGGAGGACAGCGCACACATATCAGCAGTTACCTGTCATTTAAAACACAGCTAAAACAAACTTATAATTACAATAAAAACTCAAGTGCAATAAATAAATGCCTGCCATAAAAAGAAAAAGTGCTATCGGCTAACACCAAGGAGGCTAAACAAAACTACGTTAGTGTTAAACACTGAAGACAGAGACAAAGATCTGAGTAACTTAGAAGATGAGAAGGTGCAGCTTGATATTGATCCATATATAAAATCAATCAAACACACACAAAATACACAGTCAAGTACATGAAAAGTCACCTAATTCACATATACTCTTCCTGGCCACAAAGGTAAAACAAATTAAACATTAAATTTTGTGATAAAATAAGCAAGAATGGTCAATCTAATTTCATAATCAAGGGCAGAATGGCACCCTGTGAGGGACAAAAGAGTCCAAGAACTGCAGTCTTATCAAACATTTCCACTTAAAGGACGTGCAAAGGGTCAGCTTATTGTAAAGCCAATAAAATAACTTCATACATTTTTTTTTCTAATTGCTCTTGGCAATGTATAATGTTAAAATCCAACCAGTGGAGTTTCTGCAGACATCTAGGGAGAACTGAAGGGAATACATTTAAACCAGTCTGCTGCATTTACTGACATTTACTGACAGTTTTGTTGGCTGCAATCACAAGGTAAAAGAATTGTCACTTGAGACAAATGAATCAGAGAGTGCTTTGTTCTTTAGTTGGCTTCAAACAACTGTGTTTTTGTTTGGTTCTGTGATCAGGATACCTTTATAGCAAGGATCGCTTTGCCCGAATCTCTTTACTGTCCTGCAGTGTTCAATAATTCTGCAACATCGCTGTGGACTTTCTGCGTTAGTACACACAAAGATCAGGGAACTTCATCTCGTAGATGGGCACAGATCGACTCTGGCTTTGGCCGTAACCTGATGAAATGGTTCCAGATGGGCTGGGTGGGGGTCTGAATGCGAAGAAGAAACAGACATCATCGTTGTCATCATCATTCACATAGTCAGTATCAGTGCCATCACTGTCATCATCGCCTTCTAGAAATTTCTTAAACATCTCACAACACTGGTTCTTACCTGATTGTAATCTCAAAGATCTGGTTTAGTTTGCTCTGCAGCAGTGTGGCCTAGAAAGGACAGAAGAAATTGTATTAGAAACAGTGAAAACCTGAAATGAGGGGAAAAAACATCTTGAAAACCAGCATGGATAAAAGGAAAAGGTTTTTATTGTACCCTGGCACCACAGTGGGCAGCTATCTCTTCGAAGGGGGCCTTCTGGAACTTCTCCACCACTTGTCTCCTCCGCTCCCTCTCTTGCTCCTCCATACCCACACTGTCCACTAGAGGGAAGCAGAAACATTACTTAAATTTCAATACTGTATTTTGCTGCAGTAGACTTTGTGCTGAAAGCAACAATGTGCTTGATCCTTAAAGCAGCAAAGAAAATCAACTACAACTATTATTCTCATTGCTGCCACTCCAGTGGAGGTTGGGGGTGGAGCTAAAAGTTCCCCTTTGACCATCTGGCAGTACTTTGGGTTAAAAACTAAATCAAAAACAGAGTCCTAACAAAAGTGCAGCATGTGATCTTATGTAGAGTAACATAATTTAAAAAGGAGGACAAATCACTGATGTGAGACCAACTGACTGTCTGGACACACTTTCCCATTGAAGTGAATGCGAAAGTGTGTCCAAACCTCTGAGTGGTAGTGCAAAAGCTGTACAAAAAAAAAGTACAGACGAGTGGTGCTACTGTGCTGATGAGTATCTAAGCTCATGAATACTTGATAAACAACTACAAAAAGATAAGTGAATAGACATACCAATGGCATTCTTCAGAGTTTCAAACGTGATCTCTTCTGCTGGTGCCCTCTGCAGAAAGAAATGACGGCAACAAGTGGAATGAACAAGAAATGTGATCCAGCAGTAAATTGAATCTAATCTTAATTTAATCTTGAGAGCTGTAGAGCCCCATGCTGAACACTGAAGTGCTAACCTCCCCCCCAAAGTATCTTTAGTGCTACATATCTGAGTTTTACACCATGTAATTGTTCTATGTGCTTTACTGCTTTTACCTCCTCTTTCTCTGGGCTGTTTCGGGACTCTACCTCCACCTGGAGCGAGATGGTCTCACCAATACTCTTTCTCTTGGACAGACGGTCCTCGTCTGGAAAAAGAGTGCACATATTTCCTTTCCTTTAAAATAGAAAACTCTTGAATGATGAAAAACATATGACAAATTGGACATTTTGATGCTTTTAATAAGGTTAAAAACGGAGTAAACCCAATTAGAAAAACAGAGTTTAAGTGGGGACTAGGCTGACAAATTAACATAAAAGTGAGTTGGAATCTACAATAGATTGCTTTTATTTCAAGCACTGGGGCTGCAAAAGGGTCTGCCCTGATGAAGTGCCCTTCAACAAAACTCAAAATTCTCACTAGCTCCATTGGAGCAGTTCAGCTCTGCATGTCTATTCAGGAATCAATAAAACATCCAGATGAAGCTGTGCCACACTGGCAAATCAATAAGCATTAATGTGGAATGGAGTAAAAAGAAGAATATTTGCCTCTAAAATGTAGTTAAGTCAAAGTATGAAGTAACAGAAAATGAAAATACTCAAGTACAGATACCTCAAAACTGCACTTAAGTACAGTACTCGAGTAAATGCATTGTGGGTTAAATAAAGAGAGGAGGACATTGCTCATTACTTTGATACGGCTGACACTTGAACTAAGAGTTACCTGTATACTGTGGGACATAAGGCGTAGCCAATCTCTCTGTGTTATAACCACTACCTCCAAGGACCTCAGTGATCTTCGACTGGAGGAACAACACATCCCCCTCGACCTTCTCCAGTAAGGAAGGCAGCCTAGGACGTCAGAGGCAGTGATTGTTTTACATACATCAGAAAGTAGCAATTCTCTTCTTAAGGAGACCTGAATGTAGATGGCACATACTTTGGTTTATCAACGAAGACATCCTCAGGCAAAAGGTAGGTACTTTCTTTCTGTCTCACCTCAATTACCTGAAGGAAAAAAGAGAAGGCAATTTATGAAAAGAGGTTGTTGATATTCAGACACACGCACACACCCACACGTATATCAGAATCAGCTTTATTGGCCAGGTGTGTCGGACACGAGGAATTTGACTATGGTACATCAGCTCTCAATGTGTATGCACATATCCCCATGCAAGGGGCAAGTAAACAGTAAACCAACATAAGGCTAGTATAACTAAATAAGCAGGATTAACAAGCAACAAACAGTGCAGAATAAGCAGTATAAACAGGTAGTAAACAATGCAGACAGACAAAGGAGTGGTCATTTGTGTGTATGTATAGATGTATAAAGGAGCACAGCCCCTGACCTCGTGTATGTGCTGGCAGAAGGCAGGGACGGTGGTCAGCTGGCAGATGAGGTTGAGGTAGGCAGCAGCGAGGGCATGAACAGCACAGCGGTTATAAACAGGCAGAGCCTCGTCAGTGGAGAGAGCCAGGTCCTGCACATGATACAAAGAGACATCAGCGCTGTAAAACACTCTGGTATTCAAATTTACCATAGCTTCTAATTCACCTTCTTAAAATGTGTCAAGACTACATACTTTAGATTTGCTTTAATGTATATTGGACTGTCTGTTTCCTCATTTTGTGTTGTTAAAGTGGGTTTTATGTTTATATATGATTGGTGCTTTGACGCGTTCACTGCATTTACAGAAGTACTACATAGATTTAACCATTAGTTTGAGTTTGTATGTTCTCCCTGTGCCTGCATGGGTTTTCTCCGGGTACTCCAGCTTCATTCCACAGTCCAGACATACAGGTTATGTTAACTGACTCTAAATTGCCTGCAAGTGTAAATGTGAGTGTTGTCTCTATGTGTCAGGCCTGTGATAGACCACTGCCCAGTCCAGGGCGTATCTCGCCCAATGTCAGCTGAGATCAGCTCCAGCCCGCCCTGCTATCCTCTACAGGGTAGGAGGTATAGACAATAGAGGGATGGATATGATCAAATAGAACTTGATTGCATGCACATTCATCCATACCTGCAAGGCGAGCGCCAGGCGAATGAGGTCCACCACCACCTCTTCGTTAGCCAACTCCACACTGAGAAGGCCCAGCAGAGCAAAGAGGGCCTCGTAGTGCTGCCGACCGCTGCTCTGCTCCTTACAGCCTAAGTAGATGTGTCGGTACAGCTGCTGGCCATGCTGCGATTGGAGGATGCACAGAAAGAATAATGAGTCACAAGAAAGAAAAACAGACAGAGAAGATACTTTAGACTTAAAGTTCTCTAGTTTTTCCTGTTACATTGTAAAGGTCTTTTTACACCAAGAGCAATTTGAATAAACAATACAAAATAGTGAATTTTTCAGAGGCGATTTAAACACAGCACACACGTTCACACCAAACACAAAGCAAAATATGGAAAGTGAAGTTTTAAAAAGTCACACTGCAAATGTCCACATCAAGCAATGATGACCTGCAGGTGCTGGTTCTGGAGTAAAAAAAAAAAGAAAATGCAGGTGCGTCCTATATTGGAAAAGAAAAAGGCAACTTGGAAAATTTCATTGCATGGTGCAGGGGTTAAAACTGTAAGCTTCTAGGGTTATCTCTGGACCTACTGCAGGATGTCCATGGGACAATATGAAGAGTTGCTGCTGCTGCCAACGTACTTGAAGAGGCAGAAGGGCAATTACAATGACCTGATTGACCCAGAACAACTTACAACCTAAGTGTAAATATTTTTTTATCCAACAAAACTGCAATCATGTCATTCCATACACGTACTGTATAAAAACATTTACAATAGGAAAAGCAGAGACATGATGACAGGGTAGACTGCTGCACATATAATTCAAAGACTTCAATTTGAATTGTAATGAAAAATGCTGCTTTAGACCCAGCAGTGAACACTGAGTGTCTAAAGTGGTACTCGCACCGAATTCCAATGACAGCCAAACCAACTATGCATATAGAGACGGTACATACCTTTTTCATGAACAAGTTGTCCTGTCTGGAGCACTTGTCAACTTTGAGCTTGAGTATAGAGATGTCAGAGATAATGCTGCACAGAAAGAAGGCACAGCAAATAAATACCAGCTGTAACTGAAGCACAGGTTGGTCAATCTAACAAAGCAAAGCCACAACAAACCACAAACTCAGCCCCACATTGTACAAAACCACCATGCTCCTACAGACTAACCCACACACCTAATGGTGGAGAACTTGGGCCTGTTGTCGTGCCTATCGATGAGGCTGAGAAGGATTTGGAGCACCAGCAGTCGGACCTCTGGATCCTCGGTCAGTGACAAGGACAGCAACGGCTCCAGGAAAGAGCTGGGCAGTGCTGTCAGCATGTTGGTGGTCTGGTAACCTGCCGTCACCTGAGAGATTGATGAACACAAGTCAGTTTGAGTTTATAATCTTTCAACTAAGGATGAAAATTCAAGTAAACCTTAGTGAGTGTCATACTTTTATTTATAATATACAAGCTAAAACTGACTTCTAAACTTCAGAGATGATGAGTAGCATCATGGGCATGTTGTTACCTGTAGCAGAAATTCTGATGTTTGAGTTTGTTTCCATGAATTACTTTTTTCTCATGTACACAGATTACATGCTGATATGACCGGCCTACTCTTCTGTTCGTATTTGGAAGTGAGGTCAAACTGTTATTCTGACTGTCCCTGCCATTTTTGTCATCTAGCTGCGGTTCAAAAGGACAGAGACACACACACACATACTCTCACCATTTCACATTTGTGTAGGTACTTTATTAAACTGGTGATCATGAGCTCCTTATTCAAAACATAAAGAACCACATTTGTGAAACTTTTGGCGTTAAAAAATATTTAGGGATGAAGACGTACCTGGACCAAGGACTTGAGTAACATGATCTGAATCATCCTGGTACCCTCAGGCCTGCGGGTGGAAGAGCACATTCAGATTTACATTTAAATCATTTTAATTCGGCAACATTCAGGCCCCAACACACGTGATCACAATCACTGTTAATTACAGAGTGGAACAAAGTTAAGAGTTACATTCAGTTTTGATGTTTAAGATGACACTGACTGGTGTGCATGTGTGTATCCTGGGCAAATACTGTAAAAATGAAAAATTAATGTGTGAGTGACCTTACCCAGAGCCTGTGGAGGGTAGGGCTAGGTGAATCCCGGGGACAGGGATCTTGCCCATAATGAAGAGCATGACCTCTGACCTCTGGTATGTTGGAAGAGTGTTGGCAAATGATCCTGAAAGAGATAAAAAAGAGAGAAACATCACATGACTATGAGGAGGGTTTGGAGCAAAAGAAAAAAGATCAAATCGAGTTTATTTATATAGCACTTTACAACATTATCTGGTTGACCAAAGATGTATGGAAGCATAGAACAGATAGATGAACTCAGAAGGAATTCAAAGCCAAAACACACACGTACAGCACCACCCACAGACTCACCAATGGTTCTGATGACAGCCTCCTGCAGCTGCCTTTCCTCATGAGCTTTGATGATCTTAGTGCCGATGTTGGTGCTGCCGTCATATGAGCCAGTCAACTCGTAGTCTACGCTTAGACGGAGCTGCCGGAGCAGGGTGTTAAAAACCTCCAACACTGTGGGACCTGCATATATAAACAGTGAACCATGTCACCCCATAATGAAAATTAACATCAGCTCTATCATGCCTGAGCCCATTTACAACAGCTGGAAACCTAGCCTTTGTGTGGGTACATATAGCTCACCTACAGAGCCGCTGGCTGCGATGGCAGCTGCCTCCAGCAAAACCTCCACTATCCCAGCTCGCACTGTGGCTGAGCTCTTACTGTTAGCATCCAGGTGGCCAAGAAGCTGCTGGATTACCAAATGAGAGTGCTGTGACTGAAAAGGAAACAAGAGAAAAATTGAAGGAAACCAGACTAGACAAAGAAAGCATGAAAAACACAGAACAAAAGAGAAATATAAGTGGTAGAAAACAGGTAAATTACAATTCATTCAACCAGGTAGAAAAATAAACATTTTAGGTATACCCAAATGGAATACCCAATCATCTCTCAATCTCATAGCAATTTTTAGCAGTAAGTGAATACATTTTGCAATAACCACTCATAAAAATAAAAAACATGGCACTGTGCAATCACATAAAACATTTCAGGATTCCATTTGAGATCTAGATATGAGGTCAACAAAGTGAAAAAGAGGTTAAAAAAAGGAGTGAGGGATAAGTCTATGAGGATATGCAGGCACTGTACCACACTCACCTGGATGGAGTACATGATGATTTTGAAGCAACACACTGCAAAGGTCTTCCCCTCCCATAGAGAGTGGTTATCTAAGTGCCTGGGGGAATACCAACAGGAGGAGAGGGATAGGAAGGATGAAAAGATGGCACCAGAGCACTGAGGGATAGAGAGCAAACGTATGGTTCCTCAAACAGCACCGGCATCAAGACTCAAATGTGTTTTGTTTTTACATTTAAGAAAACTGTACATTACATACGTGCAGGAATCTTACATGATTAAAAAACACGGGGTAAACAATCAACATTTATATTTGAATGTGAGCAGGATGTTGATAAGTTGGCAAAAGTTCAATAAAATGCCAAAAAAACCCAATCAATGATAATGATCAGGAGCACATCATCCGTCAAGCAGGATCAAGGTCATTACAACTGAACAGTTGGTCGAACTGCACGACGTCTATGTACTGTATGTAGAGGCAGAAAGGTGGGGACAGAACGAGATAAATCATTAAAGCATGAGATAATGACGGATGGACAACAGCTAGTCTCACACAGTGCATGACAAGTGAGATGAATGGAAAGGAAAATAGAGAAATCCAAAAACAGCTGGAACAAAAATCCAAAACAGATCTGTGCATGTTTGAAAGGTTTGTTAAAAAAAAAAAAACCTAAATATATTACTTTTTATTTTTGGGGGCTTTTTTTTTTTTTTTTAATCAAGACCAAATTTTAAAAATTGGCTGTCAGTAAACCAATAAAAAAAAAAAGAAAAAGAAAACGTGCAGTCTGCAGTCTAGCACGTTTTACCTTTATTCCTGCAAGCACATTATCCATGTACAGTGTAAGTGCTGGTTGTGTATTTTATGCAGTGTATTTCTGTGACTTAACACTTAATTAAAAATTAACATTATGGCTAGTCTGCTATTCCAAGCCGAGCTAAATGCAGTGAATGGACTCAAGCAGGACAAATAATAGATACAAGGGAAAAAATAGATTTTCCACTCAATACAAAAACAGATGTCTATAACTCAGCGAAGATACAGACACATGAGCACGTGCAGCAAAAGAAAAAGGCTCAGATAAATAAAACACTACATTCCAGCAAGAACAGTAGAGTTGAGGAGATTCAAACAACAGAGAGAAGGAGAAAGTGAAAAATGAAGGGCCAGATAAGTAAAGAAAAAAGCTAATCTCATAGAGGAACAGGCTTAGAGACGTGCAAAAATTAACCACAATTAACAGAAATGACCTCAGATGCACAATAAGGCTGTGAAAAGACAGGGACTCTGCAATGTCTTGTCAGAAAGGAAGTATAACAGTAATAAAATTACAACCTTGTGACGCAGAGAGCATAAAAACAATGATATACAATGTAAACATCCCATCTGCAAATCATCCACTAACACCTACTGTAATCAAGAACAGCTATGTAATCTTGCATTGACCTTGTTTTGCCATCTCAGACCTTCTGAATTAGAGCTAAAAATGCTGCAAAACGATGACCTGAGATGCATCCTTCCTCCAGGGTTTTGTCAGTCCGTCAAAAACAAACAAGCGCATCAAAGAGCAAATCACAAAAAAAATAAAGAGCGTTTGTGTGGCTGTCTCACATCAGCACAGGTGTGACGGCATTCTTGATGTTGCCATAGGCGGCTCGTCCCAGCAGCTCCCTGAAGCAGCGCTCTGTCAGCTCCACCGGGCTTTCCTTCTCCTTCTCTGACGCCTGCAGTGGAGAGGGGGAGCGGCTGGCGCGGAGCAATGCGAGTGAGAAAGCAGAAAAGGAGGTGAAGAGAGAGAGAGAGGGAGGGAGGGGAAAGCGAGTCGGGAGGGGGAAGAGAGGTACAGACGGCAAGCGGGAAAAGGGAGCGAAGAGGCGAGAGGCTGAAATCAATTTTATTCAGTAGCATTTTCACAAAGGTTACCTTTTTTTTTTTATACAAAAACACCATCTGGACTGCTGTGTCACTGCAGCCTTCACTCCTGAGGTGACTTTACCCTCTGCAGTGTGTCTGCAGTGAAAATTAAGTGAGTGTGTTGGTCATCATGTGTGCATGCTTTTTGTATATTGCACATCACAATTTGGTTAAGTGTGTGAGCACTCACTCTGGGTCCAGCCTTTCTTTGCTCTCATGCATAGTTCAAACCTCCACCATAACTCTATCTTGGTCATGAGTAGCCTCCGGTGGTCCGGCAACGCTGATGATGACATTATTTATTAAACATCCTAACTCTTTCATCTTTCCTGACGCTGCTTGATGTGGAGGAAATGTGACTTGACTTCCTGCCTCTCAGTGACTCGTCTAACTTGGAGGTTGAGAGGCAATAGAAAACAATAAAGTTGAGAAAAATACAGCATTAATACTGGTTTAGCTTTAAAAGGCACAAACTTAAATGAAGCCATTTTCTTCATTTTTTTTTCAGCTGCAAATGTAGAGAACTGTTGAAAGGCTGGGCATTTGTTCAGTGGCAACAAAGAACGTTTACAAAGCCGCTCTCACTTCCCTCTCCCATTGAAAAGGGCATTTCAAACACCTAAAAGAGAGTTCTCACAGCACAGTTTTGTCTAAAAAATTGGAGACTCAAAAGGAAGCATTTGGCATGAGGAGATCAGCAGCTGAAAGCCCACCGGATCTGACTCTGTATCTAGAATTCACAGAAGCTGCTTTTGAGTCTGAAGGGTGTCTGAAATGCTTGCTTACAATGAGGATCATTTCCGATGGAATGCTTTTGTTTTTGCTAAGGCAATGTCTGAGGGAAAATGTCCTGGGCAACAGAAAGCCTTTGTAGGCACCTACGCATTAAAAACTATCAATCAATACGGTTCTTTGTTCTTGAAGTGCAGCACACAGAACAGGAGTCACAAAAGTTTTAATTATCTACAGAAATAAACTGTCAGAAGCTAAAACTGTGCCTGAAGTTGATCTTTAAATGAACTTGTTCATGTGCACGAGGATTAATATAGACCAAAGTGTACCATCTGTGAGTTTAATTAGACTGTGCACTGACTGCTGTGGGTTTTATGGCTGGTGATGGCTGGCTAAAGTCAGTGTGAGGAGGAATCAAGAATGCACAGCAGGGGCAGGTCTCGTAACAGACACAGAGCAGAGGGAAGCTGAGAGGGAAATGTGTCACTCTGTTGGACTGTCTGTCTCTATGTCCATCTGTCTCTTTTGTTCAATCACCTCTTCAATCACCGCTCTGTTATCCACCCTCCGCCCCAGTCCTTCAATGTTCTTCTCGCTGCCTTCCCCTTTGCTCCTCTAACCTTCAGATCTCAACACTGATGTCTAAATACATTTCAGCATGTGGAATATTGCCAAGAAAGGGAGGCTCCAGACTCTGTATCTCTCTCTTTCTCACAGCAACTAGACCGCTGTCATACTCTCCTCCTTCCCATATTTTCTCTCTATCTCCTGGTGTCTTTATCCTTGGATGCTGAAGGTGGACAAACAGATGGCCACAGTGGGAGGAGAGCTGTCTGAGGCTTCATTCAGTGATGACAATGATAATGAATGACATTGGTGATGCCTGGCTAGACTGCCAGGACAAGTATGGCCTAACGTAGACAACCAGTACCGGTCGGCTACAGCACAATAGCTTTGAAACGTGTGTGACAGGGACACAGTGGGTCACCAGGTACCCATTGTTGGCACAGTCTGACTGGTATACAGTATACACATGACAGCATGGGGGCTTTAAACTGAAGCCAGGATTTTCTGAAGTTTACATGAAAATTCAAGTGTATACACACTCAGTTAGGTCAGGTTAGTTAGGTGAACCTAGCAAAAACGAATGCAGTCTAATAATAGTCATGCGATATATCCCCAATTCATGAAGGAGATCATGTTCAGTTTTTGTTGAAACTTTAGAGATGATTTAAGAGTGCGCAAAATAAAGCTCTTGCAAACAGCTGAGCAATGATAAGTGTCAGTGAGCCCCATTTATCTGGTGATTAAAGTTGAAATAGACACTATAATATCAATTACATATTTGCCTGAGGTTTGAGAAGCAGCAACATATGGAGCCCACTCACCTCTCTGAGCACTCTCCACTCTGCAGGTTGAAAAGCAGGGAGGGGACGATTTTGTCCATGTGCTGAGGATCCCAGATGTTGGCCTGAAGCTCATCATTCACCGTCTTCCTCACCACACCCTGCAGGCCCTTGATACCTGCCATGCGGATCCTGGAGGAAACAATCAGATGCAGACAGTGGGAATCATTCCAAAGGTAACTGAATGTATGAATAGATTTATATAATTAGGAAGTCATATTTTCCTTTTTTGGGCCATATCTGTCAGTACATTTTTTTCAAGGTTATATTTAATTTGATTGTTCTCAGATGAAAACAAGATCACTTGTAAAAGATTTCACTTCGTTGATAAATAGACAAATGTCTCAGAGCAGAAGAGTCTGAAAAAGGTTTCTTGAAAAAAAAAAAAAAAAAAAAGCAGTCTCCTAATAATTCTGCCAATAACACAACCGAGCACCTGTCCACTCACTTGGTGCGGATGTCAGGATCCTCAAAGCTAGAGTGGCACATCTCACTGAAGCGTGACACAAAGAAGTCATAACTGCGGTGGTACGATGGCGTATCCTCTTCTATGTTGGCAAACTTCACAAACTAAGAAGGCAAAAAGAGATGGGAGGAAAAATGAAAACTAATTTTTATGTCATAGAGAAAATTTGATTCAATAAAAAAATATTCTTTAAAATGGCCATGGCATGCTCATTTCCAGCCAAATACCCAAAAATCCTCAAAGTGAATATCTCCTAAATTAAACTGTAGTGCCATGACATCTCATTAAGAGTGAAAAGCACAGGGCAGAGGGGGGCTCTCCCACTGGGAAAGGAAATGTCACCATTCAAACATCATGGCATTTAGCTTCACACCACACTACACACTACTTAATTAATAAGTCATGAATTGGATTTCTTTAGAATCAAGAGAGAAAGGTTACTACCTGAAACAAGAATGAATTAAAATTCAGTAAAACAGACATAATACATAAATTCCCCATTCAAAAATACAGATTGGATTAAGGCAGTGACTCAAAATGCCAGGCTAAAAAGAGTCTGTGCAGGAAATGACATCTAAAGAAGTCTCTGGTGAATCTGTTTCCTGTGTATAAAATGCGTGTATGAAGTGGTTTTGAAATTAAGTGAAGTATCCTTGAGCAAATTAAATGAAGTGAACCAATTAGAGTGCCTGTGAAGCTGCTCAGCTGCTGTAGTAAATTGCTGTAGCAGCTGATACTTGGAAGCTGGTCAGCATTACTGGTTGTAATACTGACCAGCTTCCAGTTATGAATGCATCAGTTCTGTGCCTGCAGATACAGACCGTCTGATCGAAGGCTTTCAGAACAGGATCTAAAACCACAGGTGGTGCAGAGCTGAGATTAGAAATGATCAGGTCTTTTTGCAACCAAAGGCCACACCAAGAAAAACTGAAACATTAGCTCAGGTGTGTTAGAAACAACTCTGCAGGTGTGTATGCATCCTGTATGTGCATAAGTGGATCAGCTTGCATTTGTCCTAAGCAGAGTGTGCAAGAGAGACTGATAGCAGGAAGATTATGAGCAAGAGGCTCGTGTGTCTGAGCCATCTGTATCATTGACAGCACAGCTCTGCCAGTGTGGACTGCAGCTAATCTGATTTCCTTTGTGTGTCCTCTGCTGACCCAGCCAACAGTGCTGATAGCTGCTTCCCACATCATACTCATCAAGCCCATTCAGTCTGCCCACCACTCTCTTGCTGAGCTCTTATCCTTCTCACATACTAATGCAGTATTCCTATCCAAGTTAATGTCTCTTACTTTTGTGCCATCACATCAGGAAAGTAAACGCATCTTGTCAACTTTTGATGTGATAACACCTCTAAACCAACTGAAAAGGGTGGCATTTGATGCAGCAGAAAAACTAAACAGTTTCAGATTGTGGGTATTTATATAAAAAATGTCTTAGCTTTTAAATTATTCTTTTAACTTGTGTTCATTTCATCTGCAAAAACTATGACAACAAAAAAAAAAAAAAGCAGCTGAGACAAACTAGGAGAATGCAGCCGCATGCCGACAATATGGAGGTGGTAAGATACTTTAACATGAAATGTTGTGGATGTAACATTAACATTACTTTGAGTCAGGTATGTTTGTGTTGCTGTCAAAAGGAATAAGCTGGTTATGGGATTAATGTGGGCAGTTAGTCATCTAAATCTTCCTCTGGTTGTCGGCTACAGATATCCGTATTAATGTTGTCTGACATTTTATCTTCTTTTCTCAAGCTGAATCCAGTCACTTGCTGCTCTGCAAAGGAGAGGCGCACGGACACCATGGACATAATGTGGGAACAAATTAACAGTCTTTCCAACTAATCTCGTATATAAAGCATGCAATGAAGTCTGAACTGAGGGTACAATCTCGGACACTCACCGAGTTGGTTCCTAGGATCTGCAGGTTGGGTTTGTCTGACTCTAGCAGCTTGCGTACCATCTTAAGAAAGCTCTCCACAAACAGGTTGATGCTCTGACAGTGACAGGCCATCAGCAGCTGGTCCAAGGCTTCCATGGCTATGCATACATACCTGAAAGTGACAAGAGAGACACAGGGGGCATCTAAATTAGACCACTGGCCCTGTATGCAAATATAATCTCCATTTGGATATCTTATATGGACAATAAAATAAATGACTACAGTGCCTTGCGAAAGTATTCGGCCCCCTTGAACTTTGCGACCTTTTGCCACATTTCAGGCTTCAAACATAAAGATATAAAACTGTAATTTTTTGTGAAGAATCAACAAGTGGGACACAATCATGAAGTGGAACGAAATTTATTGGATATTTCAAACTTTTTTAACAAATAAAAAACTGAAAAATTGGGCGTGCAAAATTATTCAGCCCCTTTACTTTCAGTGCAGCAAACTCTCTCCAGAAGTTCAGTGAGGATCTCTGAATGATCCAATGTTGACCTAAATGACTAATGATGATAAATAGAATCCACCTGTGTGTAATCAAGTCTCCGTATAAATGCACCTGCACTGTGATAGTCTCAGAGGTCTGTTTAAAGCGCAGAGAGCATCATGAAGAACAAGGAACACACCAGGCAGGTCCGAGATACTGTTGTGGAGAAGTTTAAAGCCGGATTTGGATACAAAAAGATTTCCCAAGCTTTAAACATCCCAAGGAGCACTGTGCAAGCGATAATATTGAAATGGAAGGAGTATCAGACCACTGCAAATCTACCAAGACCTGGCCGTCCCTCTAAACTTTCAGCTCATACAAGGAGAAGACTGATCAGAGATGCAGCCAAGAGGCCCATGATCACTCTGGATGAACTGCAGAGATCTACAGCTGAGGTGGGAGACTCTGTCCATAGGACAACAATCAGTCGTATACTGCACAAATCTGGCCTTTATGGAAGAGTGGCAAGAAGAAAGCCATTTCTTAAAGATATCCATAAAAAGTGTCGTTTAAAGTTTGCCACAAGCCACCTGGGAGACACACCAAACATGTGGAAGAAGGTGCTCTGGTCAGATGAAACCAAAATCGAACTTTTTGGCAACAATGCAAAATGTTATGTTTGGCGTAAAAGCAACACAGCTCATCACCCTGAACACACCATCCCCACTGTCAAACATGGTGGTGGCAGCATCCTGGTTTGGGCCTGCTTTTCTTCAGCAGGGGCAGGGAAGATGGTTAAAATTGATGGGAAGATGGATGGAGCCAAATACAGGACCATTCTGGAAGGAAACCTGATGGAGTCTGCACAAGACCTGAGACTGGGACGGAGATTTGTCTTCCAACAAGACAATGATCCAAAACATAAAGCCAAATCTACAATGGAATGGTTCACAAATAAACATATCCAGGTGTTAGAATGGCCAAGTCAAAGTCCAGACCTGAATCCAATCGAGAATCTGTGGAAAGAACTGAAAACTGCTGTTCACAAACGCTCTCTATCCAACCTCACTGAGCTCGAGCTGTTTTGCAAGGAGGAATGGGCAAAAATTTCCGTCTCTCGATGTGCAAAACTGATAGAGACATACCCCAAGTGACTTACAGCTGTAATCGCAGCAAAAGGTGGCGCTACAAAGTATTAACTTAAGGGGGCTGAATAATTTTGCACGCCCAATTTTTCAGTTTTTTATTTGTTAAAAAAGTTTGAAATATCCAATAAATTTCGTTCCACTTCATGATTGTGTCCCACTTGTTGTTGATTCTTCACAAAAAATTACAGTTTTATATCTTTATGTTTGAAGCCTGAAATGTGGCAAAAGGTCGCAAAGTTCAAGGGGGCCAAATACTTTCGCAAGGCACTGTATATTCTAAATGGCTAACTTCACACAGCAACAGAAACCAAACTGTGATAAGCTCTGCCAGACAAACTTCAGGGCCTCTCATACTGCACAGATTTCAGGCAGACTCTGCCAAATGCATATGTAATCTGTGCAGGCTGTTTACAGTACATTGGCAAGCATCATCACAGGGCGGCCTAGTCATGAATCATGAAAGACAACAACTTCTGCAGCATATGAAGCAAGTACAGACTGCACCATCTGCGTTGATGACCTAAAACCCACTTGAATTTAAAATCAGTTGATGCATGGCAGAGAATAAATAACAGACAAAATGTGTAAAAAAAACAAAAAAAACACTCCTTGTCACAACAGAGAATTACCAGCTGAAATGTAGATACAATTTCAAATGGTGATTGACTAATGATGCTCACCCATATCTGTGCCGGGCCACATCCCTCGACAACCTCTCGGACAGGTAAGCTCCAATACGGTCGAGTTTCTCTGGAGCTGACAGGGCATAGAACGTGAGCTTCTCCATGTTGGCTTTCACCAGTCCATCCTAGGAGGGTGATGGAGGGAGAGGAAGAAAGAAACAGAAAAACAAGATACAATGTTTCCATTCACATGTAATTACTCAACATACATTTTTGAGTTAATGCAATTGTGTGCATACTGTAGTGTGTCCTCCTCCTCCAAAACCCAAATTCTAAGAGTTTCACTTCATTACTGTGTTTCACCTCCTAATCTTGAGGGGGAGGAAGAGCTAGAAACACTCTGGTAATAAAGTTGTGATGGAGGAATAGTAGAATTAGTTATATAGTCCCAGTACCCAATATCTTGTACAAAGCTTTGAGAGGCAAAGTGACTCTAAAAAATACTGAGTGTGATATACGTGGAGAATATCATTCATTCATTTACCAAAACTAGAATTAATGGGAATGGGACAGGTGTGAGGTCACCTTTGACCACCATAAACAAATTAGTTCATCCTTAAATTCAAGTGGACATTTGTGTCACATTTGAAGAAAATCAAGTCAAGTCAAGTCAAGATTTTTATTTACCATTTATGCATAAACAGACAGTCTAGGCATATAGGCAGCTCTCCTTTGGAGTCAGGTAAGGAGTCAAAAGCCAGAAAGAACACTTAGTCTTAAAATAAAACAGTTACATAAAGGCAACATAGCATTAAAACCGTAATACACAAAACTAGGGTAATAGTATTTTCCCCAGTGAACTTGAAACATCACACTTAGTAATTCACATGGTGGAGTTGGCTATGTCATTACACTTGGTGAGGTAGTGAGGGGTTATAACATACTAAAACACAGTTTATATTCAGGCCTGTTTCCATTACTTGGTAGAGAATGTCCTGCTATTATTCAGGTCCCCCAAGAGAACACTGCTGATGAGATAGTGGGCATTCGTGGTGCTGCCCTAGCATGGTTTCAGTCATATTTATCGGATAGATCAGTGTCTGTCGGGCTGGCAGATGTGGAATCTGTGACAACCCCTTTGTTATCTGGGATTCCACAGGGCTCCATTTTGGGGCCTTTGCTTTTTTCTTTGTATTTACTTCCCCTTGGCTCTATTTTTAGGAAACATGGGGTCTCTTTTCACTGCTATGCTGACGATGTCCAGATTATTATGCCACTGACTAAAAAGGACACCTACTCGATCCAACCGCTTTTAGCATGTCTTGCCGATATTAGGGCCTGGATGTCGTTAAATAGCTTGAAGTTAACTGATGCTAAAACTGAGGTTATAGTGTTTGGCCAGAATACGTCTGGCGACCCTCTTCCTGTAGAATTAGGCTTTTTGGGGCAGTATGTGCGACCGGTGGTCACTGATTTAGGTGTCAGAATAGACTCGGATCTGAGAATGGACAGCCAGATAAATGGGGTTGTAAAATCTGGATTTTTCTATTTAAGGCAGTTAGTGAAATTAAAACCCTTTTTGTCGCGGCAGCATTTGGAGACAGTGATCCATGCATTTGTTACATCACGCTTGGATTACTGTAATGCACTGTACGCTGGAGTTGGTCAATCGGGGCTTGCCCGCCTCCAGAGGATCCAGAATGCTGCCGCTCGGTTATTGGTTGGGGGGCGTAAGAGGGACCACATAACGCCAGTACTGGCATCTCTTCACTGGCTTCCGGTGCGTTTTAGGGACGCAGTTCCTTTAATCCCAATAACATGTTCAAGTCTCTGCAGTAAGATGCTGTGATCAATGGTGTCAAAAGCAGCACTGAGATCTAAGAGGACAAGTATGGAGACAAGTCCTTTGTCTGAGGCTAGGAGAAGATCATTGGTGACTTTCACCAATGCGGTTTCACTACCTACTATGATGGACTCTAAATCCTGGCTGAAAATCCTCAAACAAATCATTCTTGTGCAAGTGGTCACATAACTGCTTTGCAACAGCTTTTTGAAGGATTTTGGAAATAAATGGGAGATTGGATATTGGTCTATAATTAGCTAGGACACCTGGGTCAAGAGTAGGCTTTTTGAGTAGAGGTTTAATTACTGCAAGTTTAAAAGCCTGTGGAACATAACCTGTTAATAGAGAGAGGTTAATCAGATCTAGTATGGATGTGTTGATTAGGGGAAAGACGTCTTTGAGCAGCCTGGTCGGGATGGGGTCCAGGAGACATGTTGATGATTTAGATGAAGCAATTGTTGAGGTCAACTCAGAGAGATCTATAGGGGAGAAGTAGTCAAAGTATGAATGAGGTCTTACAGATGTTTCTAAAGCCATTGTAGTAGATGGCACCAGTCCTCTATAAGCCTAGGTGAGAGGGCAACAGTTCAACCCAGCTTTTCTGAGCTGCCTGATGAAGTATAGCCGCTGCTGGACTTTCTTCACTGTGACAGCTGTGTTCAGTGACCAGCTCAGGTCAGATGTCACCTGCAGGCCCAGGAACAGGCTGTCAGCCCTCTCCACCTCAGTCCCTTTGATGGTCAGAGGCAGCAGAGGGGAGGGGTTCTTCCTGAAGTCTACTATTATTTCTTTTGTCTTGTTTATGTTGAGGCTGAGGTCATTCTCCTCTCCATAAACAAAAATGTCGTTCACCAGGCTTCTGTAACCTGACTCGTCCCCCCCCTTGATGAGGCCCAGAATGGTGGTGTCAACAGCATATTTAATGATGATGGTGTTGTCATGGTTGGAGACACAGTTGTGGGCGTACAGGGTGACGACTACAGGGTGTACAGGGTGAAAATCCCTCAAGGTGTTCTTGAAATATTGCATTGATAAGAATGGGCTGGATGGACAACCCCAAACCATATAGACTCCAGCCATGGCTATCGCCGGTGCAGAGGCCAAAAAAAAACCTAGCACAGCACAACGAGTTTGTTCCACTTGTGACAAGTTGGAGGCAAACACCTCAATAAGTCACAATTAGCTAGAAATGTGTGAGCAATAACCATTGGCCTTTTTCACTGCAGATATTTTGAGCTGACATTGTAGGAAACAGCCAATTTCCCTAATTGGAGGGTTACTTTTGAGATCAGCACAGGGCCACAGCTCTGCTTTTGTCTGCTCCTCCAAAACATCCTGTGGCTGGAAGCCAGAATCAGTCACATAGCCAGAACACTGCAGCAGACTATGAACAAACACCCTACAGTTAAAAGCTGATTTAAGATTTTTGTTCACCGAGTCGTTTTGCAGTCTGACAGGTTCACTGTACTGGATTCAGTAGGGTGTAAACAGAGTAAAGCAGTGAAAGCCTGAAAGATTCTTTGAAGTCTTTCCCTCTGGTAAATTCCAGTCATACAAGTTCAACTAGCCATGTACTATGACACAATTTTGAGCAAATGTTATCAGATGGCTTCATTATTCCCAATCTACTGGTTTACTGTCAGTTACAGCTTTCACAGCAGCTTAAAGCCAAACTTGGAAACAATTTTGGAAGCCTGCATAGAGAACTCTACTAGTATGCACCATATATTCCAGTTTTGGCCACAGATCTGACTATTAAAGAGGGCCACTGCTGCAACGCAAAGATATCTGTGAAGAGTTTTCACTGCAGCAAATCAGCTTCTCTTCTACACTCAAATTAATTCTCTTTATGAGTCATCTGTATCCGATGGTAGCAAACACGAGGTCTGTGGTTTGACACCAACAGCTTTGATGAAGACAGTTATGTGTGGAGGCGATGCAAAGTTTTCTTATCACCTCTACCTGTACCCACAATGTGTACATTTACCTGATTAAGAACTACAAATAAATCTGGTATAGCACTTTGTTTCTCACAGTTTTTAGATGTTCTGCTGTGCATTGTCCTGTTTAAATTTAATTTGATAATGCAGTAAACTATTCTCAATGAAGACACTTTGTTGTTAAGATAAAAACTGTTTTTATCAACAGTTCAGAAAGGACATAAGTAAGCTCCACATGACAAGACAGGGGACAGCAAAGATAAGGCATTACAGAAGAAAGAGAAAGTGCAGCTTGAGGTTCTCACCTCTGGGTCTTCTGGGAAGATGTTGTCTACCAGCCTCTTGTATCGAGGCCTGAGTGCCCCACAACAACCACAAACCCCTGAGAGAAATGAGAGATGGGTAGGGAGCAGGGAGAAAAACAAAGAGACAGAAAGAGAGATGGTCAATTAGTCTTGTACAGTATGCCTGACTGGAATGCAATAAAAACACAGAAAAAGAAAAACAACAAGTAAACATCTTCTTTTCTTGTCCCTTCTCTGCTGTGGCTCTCTTTGCCTATTCTGCGTAAGTTTGTGCAAATGAAAGAACACAGTGCCAACGTTTCAGTATACATAGTACATGGTAAATCAGCCATCTGCTCCAAAGGTCAGGTCAGAGTCACTACATATCAGGGATGGCCAATCAGATTTGAATATTTTAAGTAAAATAAAATGAAATTTAAAATTAAAATATTTCATTCTCCTGGTTTTGTCTTTAAAAACAAAGAGCCACTGTTTTCCTTTGCTTTTACCAGCACCTGGAAATAATGAAGTAACGATGTCAGTATATCATTTCACTACAGTGCCAAATATAAAGATAAGAAACATGCAATAAACTGTATGATGATAATGCATGTGAGCTGCAAAGTCATTTGGCAAGTGCTGAAAAGGTGTCTGACCACAGATGCATGGACAGCGCTCATAACCGAATGCTATATGACGGTCACCTGTCGTTATATAATCAACTGGACAATACAAAGCGCTGTTCTTCAGACTAAAGCAATGCCGCAGGGCACACAGCTGGAAACCTAGTGAATGCGCTTTCCACCAAATATCGGATAGCATTTTAGCTTGAAATGCCCATCCCCAGTCCCTACTACATATCCACAAAACTACACAGTCAAATAACGTGTAAGAACAGTTTCCAAATGTTCACCACCAATGTCAGTAGTACCATCATACAAACTTTAGATTAACAACATCACAACAGATGCGCTCATCTTTATGGAGCTTCCGAGAAGCAATACAAACACCGTTGTATCATAACAACCGCTATTTTACCACACACTAAACGACGCTAAGTGAATCTGGTGACGCAATACAAACACCGTTGTATCATAACAGCTGCTATTTTACCACACACTAAATGACGCTAAGTGAATCTGGTGAAAGGACATTTGAGGAAGGCCAGGTGTGGAAAGAATATGGTCACAAGACAATTGCAGTCACAACAATGCCACTCAGATTATAATAAACACGCAAACACACTGCAGACATGTGCACACACACACTTTGTCCCTCTTTCTCTTCACACTGCAGACATGTGCACACACACACACTTTTGTCCCTCTTTCTCTCGATGCAGTGAACACAGCCTTGGAGAAAAACATGCAACACACAAAAGAATAATGTTTTTTCTGACTTTGCATTGAGGAGAAAGCAAGCTGGCAGCCAGAGAGAGCTGAATTCTGATTGGTTGAGGGAATTCAGCAGTGGTGAGTCATAAGGGGACCCTGGGAAAACGAAAACACGAACAAACAGGATAACCTCAAAAAAAAAAAAAAACTTGCATTTAACACTTCATAAAGCATTACAATTATTATATTCCTGAGTCAGAAAAGCTACAAAAAGTAGGTCAAGTTTACTGAACAGTGTGATAGCACGACACTTAAAATACACAGGAGAGATTTAATGTATGTTAGACATCAAGAATAATTCCATTATTCCTTATTTTAAATTGAAGCTTTCCTCACTCTGCTAAAACCAACTATCAGCTGACTCAGATATTCTCACTATAAAATGGAGGCCATGGGCAGCCTCGTGTCTGACTCATCAATGGACATGGAAGAGCTAAGTCCTGCTTCATCACCCCTTCGCAAGACAAACAACACCTAAGCTTCCTATAGTACTGTTGATTTCCAAGCTATAGAACCATATTCAATAGTACTGTGAAATCTGACATACACATAGCATTACCAGAGAGTTGCAGTACAAAAACACACACAACATTAACTACAACAATAACTTTTAATTATTATACATCCCAAATTAATTGGGTCTATAAAATGTCAGAAAATATAGAAAAATTACCATCGCCAGCCTTTTTTGTAGATGGAATTTTTGACATGATTGCATTTAAAATGACTAATAATTAATCAGTTATCACAACAGTTGCCTATTAATTTTCTGGCCTTAAAACAGTACTGGTTAGGCTTGAGTCCTGTAGGTGTGGAGAACATGCTTTAATAAAAGTCCCTCTTCTCAGCTACACACTCCAGCCACTTTATTAGGTACACCTGTACAATTGTATGCACACCCCCTCCACCTTAACATCTGTGTTGATGAGGCAATTGTACAGGTGTACCTAATAAAGTGGCTGGAGAGTGTACGTCCCTACATTCACTATCCTTCTGGTATATTATCAGTGGCTTACGCCTCAGAACAGCACAGTCAGCAAGGTAACTGTCTCAACTGCTACTAAGACCTCTCTGTCTCAAGGCTGTCTGTTTTATAAAAGTACTGCTGAACTAGTCTGCAGCACAAGCTCTGCTGGTGCTCAGGCTTATCTCTGAGAGCTGTGTGTCTATTCATAGCTGTGCTCCTCTCTCCTCCATCACTTCAAACACTAATGAGGCATCTGCACCCTCTCTCCCTCCCTCCCTCCTGCACTTACCCAACCTCCCTCTACCACCTCCTCTCAATCCCGCTGTATTGGCCCAGGGCCTGAGTGTAGGAGTCACCGCTGAATTAATGAAAATGCAGCAGGACAAAATGTAGAGACAAAAGGATGGAGGACAAAGAAAGACTGACAGAGAGACCCACACTGAGGGAAAATGAAAGAGAAAGACACAGATGCAATAGTGATGGAGGAGGTAGATTGTGGTGCACTGCATGAGTCACAGGTTGGTGCTACTTATTGCATGCTCTTTGTCCAGTACAAATTTGTCCTCTCTGTCAGCAGCAGGGGAAAGAGATTTTTGGAATGAAAAGCGCGATAACATTATTTATAGGGAAAACTTTGTCGTACCACTGTGCCAAGAATCCCCAATCATTTTATCAGCTCAGCGGCTGTAGCAGTTAACATTTTATTTCATACTCCTTGCGGTGCACAGCAACAATTGCATTTCCACTGCAACTATTTACAAACAACTTATATTCATAGGTAATGTTCTGTTTTTGTTTGTTTGACCTAGTTGATGCTGCCGCTGTTTGTTTTAGGCCAGCTAGTAGGCCCACTGTATTTTACATTTCAGCAGGTCTTTTTTTTTTTGACAAAAGACAATTCAACACAAAGCAGAAATTTAAGGTGTATCCCAGTTCCCCTAATTGCATCCGCATTTCCCTGGTTTGTGTCTATTCCTTGAGTCTTAGTCCCACCCACACCATGTAAGATGCAAGGAGAAACTGAAAGGACAAAGGAAATGAGGAAACATGTTTTATGAGATGTCCTTTCCTTGAGCCTTAATGTGAAGCGTCCAACCACAAACTGATTTCTGATAAAGGGGTGTGTCAATCTGTAACAGACTTCTGCCAAGGATGCACTCATGTATCCTCTGTTACAGTTACCTAGAGTAACTGTAACAGCACTCATGTATCCTCTGTTACAGTTACTCTAGGTAACTTCCTTTCTCCTGAGAGCAGAAATAAGAGCTTTGGGATGTCCTTCATCACAACGGGCCAGAAGGACTTCTGGGCCAATCGAGGATCAAGGAACAATAAAATAAAGGGATTGGGATTCACCTTTAGTTTCTACATCTGAAGTAATTAATGAAAAGCACAATCAATGTGTGAAGGTGACTTAAGGTGGCACATCTATGTAACAGTGAATACAACTGCTACAACTTAAAACATTCATAACATTGAGCTTCCAGTGTGGTACCATCCATGGAGATTACTTTAGCTGCCTCGCTGGAGCTTCTTGGAAATCTTGGGTTCAGTTTCTGTTAAAAAAAAAAAAGTTGTTTTGTTTTTGGTGTCAATAATGGTGAGCTGGTGTGGAAAAAGTTCAGTTCAAAGCAACAAGGTGGGTGGACAAGAATTTAGACGACAGTGGTGAAAAGTACACATAGCAGGGGGTCTCACGACATCCGCCCACTCTGCATGGCAAGCTGTCAACACATTCAGGGGTTGGACACGGAGCTCTTCCATGCTTCCATACACACTCACACATAAACCCACGCGCAAACATCCTGGCATACACTTTGAAAAGCATTTAACTGAGGACAATGATTTACTGGGTGTTGGTAGACAGAACAAGATAATGAGAGAAGGCGGACATCTCTCCAGCCTGGTGTAACATAGTTGGGGAAATCTGGCCTGTATAATACCTACTTGTTTCACTGGCAGGAAGCTAAGCTACACTTCCATGTAGGATTAATTTATGTTTTGCATACATGTACACATGTAAGGGGTCTCCACCCCTCAAATCACCACAGCAAGGAAGCAGCCAATCATATTGCTATTTTTATCTGTGTAACAATGGGCTGGTACACCAGCAGATTACACTCTCCATTTCCCCCAGGATGTCAGCTTAGCGTTTCCACATTAGGGTGAGAGAGAGATAGAGAGCGGGGAGAAAAAAAACTGCATGCTGAAGTGAGGAAAAACTGGGGCAAACAAAAAAAAAAACAAAAAAAAAACAACATACATACCTCCATACACTTACACAAAAATGGTCAACTGTTAATACAACCCTGGGCACTGAACATGGACACCACAAATCAAAAAAAGCTCAGTCTCATCACAATATGAAGATGCATCAATGTCTGCAACAATAGGGATTTATTATCCAAAGGAGAATAAGAGTGAAACAAATTATAAAAACATACACAAACAAAGCACGAGTGTGAGAAGTAGCCCTTCGCATCTTGCAGTGTCATATCTGCACCTGCTATCTCAAAGCTGCTCTGCTGTACCCAAAGTCACATGGCTGACAAGAGAGAGTAAATATAGTCCTAATGCCCTGCAAGGAGAATATTAAAACACTTTTTTGGATCTGTGTGTTTTTGTGTGACTATGTTATGCTGGGAGAGGCAGAACTGTCAAAACACATTTAGACCTTACCTTCACCTGGGGTCATGCAAAGCAATGGTTTTACAGGCCACACTCGCAAGGACGAACACACAGCATACACATGTTATTACCCATATTTACTTATTACAAGCTATATCTGTGTATACCTGTGCAAAGTATATGACACACAGTGGTTACAAAGCATGCCCTTTAGGGGTGGTATTACATAAGAGGGAGCAGGGAGAGACAGACCAAGTCCTGCTATTTTTAATTCAGCAAACAAAGACACACAAAACATCTACAAGCAGCAGATTCACACAGTGAAATGCAAGCACAAAGTAGAATTTACAAACAAAGAGGATAAGACTGGGTAAGTAAATAAGGAATAATGTGCAAAACTGATTCAACAGGCAACCAATATGCACATAGGATGTTGCTCAGGGAGTTTGGGAAGGCTGTAAAGCAGCTGACAAGAGGAGGTGAGTATCACAGAGAAGAGGCTGATAGCACTAGGGAGAAATGTGTTTGCCACTAAAGCATGTGGTGACACCTAATCAAATTCAGTGCATACAACACAATGTCAATTTATCCACCACAGTATCTCTGTCACTCTGTCAATGAGCCTACAGTATGAAAAGCGTATTGTCAGGCTACTGACATGTACACGCACTGCGCAGACGCTAATGCACAGTGTGCAAATTTTTTGTCAGTCATCAATCCATGTACATCGTGTCAGATTAAAAGCACACATTCAATCCAGTGGGGGTTGCAGAAAACATGGCCGGTGTAATACAAGCAGCACATCGATGATATACAGACCCAGCTGCCAACAAATCCTTGTGACACAAGACCAATCTGACACAGTGATTCACAGTCAAACACACACTGAAACTGGACTATGAGGGACTGGAGCCCAGTCACAGGAAAGCCAAACTCAGCTTGATCTTTCAGTGTCTGTCTTGACAATTCATTAGCCTAGAAATGAAAATTTCCATCCATAGTTTACAACCTAAAAGCAAGCTGCCTATATTTTTAATTAGCACTAATTAAAGAGCCATATATCAACATGCATTTACGACTTTTCCTATTCTACTTTTCTGATAACTACAATAGTTAGCCAAACGCATTACAAGTGCAGAGAATGTAACATTACCACCTCCAGTCTAACAGAAGAAGCAGTGCAAGTAAAAGGTATCTATTACCAAAAATAAACATCTTCCGTGTGTCCGTGAACAGTAAGTCAGTACTGTAATTTAACAGAGTATCCTCAGCAAAGACCAAGTTCCCATAATGCGCTTTTAGGCATCCTTACACTCTACTGACAGCTGCACCCTACTGCAAGAAAGCTAAGAGGAAACGTGGTTGTAGAATGTAGGAAAACTGGATGCTTCACATTACTCAACATGCTTCCACACCCGAGAGCACACACACAAAAACACAACAGAAGGATGACTGCAATTCTTACCGTACATCGACTGCGATGTTGGAGCCTCTGACTACAAACGCTTATGTTTCCTTAATGCCGCTCTAACAGATACACTGCTGTGCCAAGAGGCACTGAAAATGCACACAAACACACACACGGCTCACTGTGGGATAAATGCCTGCACGTGTGCTTGGAGCTAAAAGGCATATGAATGCACACTGTGATTGGTGCAGAGCCTGGCTCGATGCAATGAATCTCACACACTCTCCGTGCTGTGCAGACACACACACACACACAGCGGCTTATGTACACACACGTAGAAAAGGGGGCTGAAAGGCAACGTCAAAGAGACGCGTGCCGTGATGACCTTGGATCTTCCTGTCTTCAGCTATCCTTCTGAAGGGGGTAGTGCAGATTTCACATGGGGTAGCACACAGAAACACACCCACCTCACTTCTAATCATTTCCCTCAGTTGCAGAGAACGAAACAGAGGGGAGGGGGCACTCCTTTCTGCCTTTCTCCTCCCCCTGTCAGGATCACTTTTTCTCTCTCTCCATCCTTCACCTTCCCATGTCTCCTGCTTTACTTTCAGTTTTTCCTTTGATGCTTATGCGATTTCCACCACAGTTTCTTCCATTTTCTAAGCTCAAAATGTCTCATCTTATTTTCTTCATTCCTTTTCTCAGGATTAAAAAATAATGTTGTGCTCTATCATTCACAGTAGCTGGTAGAAACTTCAAATATAGCAGTAATTTATTTGTTATTCAGTCAACTTTTTTTGCAAATAAATGGAAGATCATTCTCTTACACTTTTTTTTTTTACTATAGTGCATAAATATAACCCAGT